GCCCTTCCCCTTTAAGAGGCCCTCTCTTTTGTTTTGCTGGTGCCCCCTACATGTGGTCAACCCCCATATTTAAATATTTCTTGACACCCCAGGTGGGATCTCCTCCAAAGCCGCGAGAAGCTCTTCAAAGAACCTTTTTTGCATCCGCTGCCCATATTCTTTGTTAATATGACACGCCGGCCTGTCAACAACCCCCAAAAATTTTTGTTCTCTCCCAATACAACTCAATCAAGAGGGCCAGCGCGGGAAAAAAAAAAAAAAAAAAAAAAAAAAAAAAAAAAAAAAAAAAAAAAAAAAAAAAAAAAAAAAAAAAAAAGACATCTGCAACTCACGTTTGCACATGACAATTCGTCAAATACTGCCCCTGGCTCTCCACCCCAGCCACCAAGCCATGAAACAGCGCCCGACTGCCCTCCTCCGTCGTACGCGCCAGCAGCTTCTCGGCCACGCGCATCCCCACCCCGGGCCCGTCCCCCTCCTTCCCCAGACTCGACACGCAATAGCTCGGGTTGGGCGTGTTGATGATCACCTCCACCCCGCCCTCCTTACCCTTGTTCTCGGCGCCGCCCCCCAGCCGCGCCGCCAGCTCCCGCACCCCCCACAGCACGAGCACCTTGCTGAGCGGATAGCGGCCGGCCATGTCGGCGCGCGCGGGGTCGTCCAGCCGCTGCAGGAGGGACTCACCGTCGGGGGTGGTCGCCAGCTCGCCCAGCGGCGCGACGTAGTGCAGCCCGCTGTTGGGGATGGCGAAGCGGCAGGGGTAGCCGGTCTCGCGGGTGCTGGCGCGCATGGTGGGCAGGAGGAGGAGGCAGAGGAGGAAGGTGTGGAGGACGTTGACGGTGAGGGTCTGTTCGTGGTGGGCGGTCAGGGTGAAGTGCTGCGTCATGAGGCCGGCGTTGGCGAGCACGCCGTCGAGGCGCGGGAGTTCGCGCGCGGCGCGCTGGGTGAAGGAGAGGATGGAGGTGGGGTCGGCCATGTCGAGGGGCCAGATTTCGATGGTGGAGGCGGGGCGGGAGGTGCTGAGCAGGAGGTTGTCACGGGCGGCGGCGCCTTTTTCGGGGTTGCGGACCGCCATGATCAGTTTGTGCACGCCGAGGCGGAGCAGGTGGCGGCTTGTTTCGAGGCCGAGGCCCGTGTTGGCGCCGGTGACGATGATGGTTTGGTTGGCGAGGTCGGGGTGGGCTTGGGGGAGGGGGAGGGTGACGAAGAGGTTGGAGAGGATCACGGAGCTGATGCCGTGGATGGCGGAGAGGACGGCCATGGTGAAGGTTAGGGGCTGGGAGTTGAATGTTGGTATGGTGTTTTGGTGGTGATGTCTTTGACGATGGTTAGGACTTAGCAGAGAGCGGAGCTATAGGGGTGGAAAGGGTGTAGGATGGGTGAGTTGATGATGAACTTGAAGGAAGCAAGAGAGAAATGAACCCGAGAAGAAATGACCCCATTATATAGAATAACGACGCTGGCGTTTGTTTCCTTCTTTGAACAACAACTTCCGGATTTATTATATCCTGTTGCTGTAAGCCACTTCCTAACAAGGGTTAAAGGATGCGGCTGGCCCACCATAGGCCCAACCCGTGTCCGGGGATAATGGCGCCGGGGCGGGGATAATATCTCCGCTCCTCTCCCCATCTCACCACTCCCCCCGTCATTAGGCATCGAGAACACCATCCGAAACATACTTCAGACTTGATCATACAATTCCCCCGTGGCCATGCCCTTGCAGTCTACTGAGGGACATCACTAACCCAAAAACAAACCTACCCCTTTCTCAACTTGCATTCCCAGACTCGCCCTCAACCCCCAACCATGGATGCTATCCCCAAGAGAATAGAGAAACGGAACAGACCGCCGTTATCCTGTGAACCATGCCGCACTCGCAAGTAAGTCTCAATAAACTGCCATCTTGCTCACCAGTCATAGCCAGGCAGCTCACCAACTAACCAACCAAAATACAGGTCGAAGTGCAACCGCGCCACCCCTTGCGACAGCTGCTTAAAGCGTAACCAGCCATCGTCATGCTACTATGCCGCAAATGTCCGGCGCGGTGATGCCAATTCCAAGAAGACTAACCTCACAGACCGTCTAAAAAGCCTAGAGGCCTTAGTATCGTCCTTTGCCTCTCAGGACCTTGTTGTCCAACAACGACACAGAACTGTGGACGGCAATGCTACCCATGGCCATG